TTTTTTATCTAATAGATCTCTAAAGTATTTCCATTTTGTATCCCATAAATTTTAGTGAAAGGGTGCAGTCTTGTAAAATTCAAAATACAATTTTATGTTTAATAAATTTGAATTTTTATATATTGAACCTCATCAAAAATTATTAAATACAAAATTGAAGGTTTGGAGACTAAATTTAAACACGGCGGTCAATTTTCAACGATTCAATGTTATTCTTTAACTTTTAACTTTAAGGTCGCTTTCTTATGAGTTTTTCTTTTTCTTTTTTAATAATTCATAATGGTCAACCTCCATTAAAGAAATTGAAATTGAAAGCTGGAAGGCCATAGACAAAGAATGCAGTCAAAATAAGTGGGGAAATTTTTGGGCGTTTAATTATTTTTAATCAAAAGTTTATTTTGGAAAATCACAGAGGGCAATTTCTATTCTACACGTGTTTCCTGTTTCATATTCCACATTTCCATACCCATCTCCACATGAAAATGAATAGATAGTTTCGTAGTATTTCATAGAATATATGAAAAGTTATCAACAATATATTATAATATGGATATAATATTAATATTAATAAATTCTAACTTATTTAAAATCAATGAAAGAAAGGTTGATTTTTTTTTTTAAATATTAACTATGATTTTGTTTTGTAATTTTCTACGAATATCTATCAACATCGATATTTTATGAAAACAGTGGGATTCTTAATATTTTCATGGAGATGTCTCTTATACCATATTAATACTATGAGTTCCATTTCAAAAACAATTGACAATGAGAGGAGTAGCCTATGACTATTATAAACTATTGTAAGAGCTCTTTCTTTTTCAATGTGAGATCATTAACCATCTTTATCTCAAATTTAAATAATCGTTGCAATTTTTACCTTAGGACAGACTTTCAAATATCCTCGTGTTTAACAAATTATAAAACATATATTTATGGAAAAATAATCCTTTTAAGTTGGATTTCTTGTCTTTGAAATTTATGGGTTTTGAGAGATCTATTAAATGATCGATTTTATGTTTGGATCGAACATAATTTTGTGCGAGTTTCGACTTTCCCTAAAATTATGAGTTTTAGGAAGATTTTGCATGATTTTTTATTAAAATTAATGGATGACTCTCGAAAGTTAGAATGAAAGGTAAAAATTGTAATATTTATCAATGTTTAAAGATTAATTCGATGAAATCCAAAGATTATAAAAATGTAATCTCAAAATTGCAAAATAGCTTTTTTTTATATACATTATTAGATACTTTTTGACTTCGTCAACCAATAACTTTTGAAATTGGTTTTTTCTTTTGTTTTATAAAAGTCACCATGAGAAGGAAGGAGGAAACAGCCATGTTTGTCATTGCATGGAACAGGGCTTGACCACTTTTTGGTCTTTTTAAAAAATTTATATTTTTGTAAAGGTCTTTTTTTTAATTCTTTTTTTAAATCTACTGTATAATAAATAGCTAAATTCTATTGCCTTTAGACATTATCAGTTAAAAAATTAATATAATAGTAAAAAGGACAGCCACGTGGCAAAATCATACTAGTTAAATGCATGGCCTCATGTTATTATTATTAATTTATTATTTTTAACTTTAAACAGAAAGATATAGAACAAATTATGATGTATCATGCATGTATGTCATGTGGATGATGTCACGTACTTTTCTTTTTGGCACATTAGGATTAATATTTCGTGGGATTTACTTTCCACTTTTATTCATTTTGGATAGTGTAGTTTCAACTATTATTCATTTCATCTTATTTTSGAAGCGTATAGTTTAGTCTTTATGTTTTTAAAAAGTAACTATTTTTGTTCCTTCATTTTTATTTTTATCTTATTTCTTTGGATCATAATTTCATGATAATTCAATTACTAAATTTCTTGAGATGTACCTAAAAATTTGCGTTAAAGAGTTTTCATTGTGTATAAGATTTGTGTTAAAAATTTTACAAATAAGATTTTGGTCCCTTGAAAGATTTGTGCTATAAAGATTTGTCTTAACATTTTACTTATGCTTATTAGCTTCTATTTTGAGGGTGAGAGTTACTGTTATGGTAAGAAATACATAGAACGGAGGAAACGACAGAAAAGGAATAGAGGATAGAAGAGAAGCGCGCGGGTAAGCACCGAGGACCGTCGGCTCGGGCCAACCCAGGTCGACCAGGCTTTGGCCAAATGGCCGAAAACACCATTTGGTTCTCCTTGGTTCATGTGCAGTCTGATCCAAACCCCGCCCGAACTCAACCATCGATCCGACGTTAGGCCCATAACGAAAAAGGGCCCAACAATTTTCTCAGAAGTATTGACTTGAGCCCAAAAGTATATGAGCACAAAAGAGCTACTCCATTCAAAATGGGATCTCGACAAAACTCAAGACCAATCAAATCAATATATCCCAACAACAGTTATGCTCGAACAAGAGTCAGGGGAAAGCAATAAGTATCGCGGGGATACTACTACGTCATCTTGAGAAACCACAGGATAATGTCTTTTTTTTAATGATTGAATAGATTTTTATTGCTTACATATTAAGTAGTATATATTTGTTTCAGATTACGTATTATTTTATGTTTCCAAGAACGATTACTTGTTTCTGATTAGTTCTTGCATCTGAGGTTTAATTAGCTTTTACTACTTGAGCATTTGTTCTAAACAAAAAACTCCTCAAATGGGGGTATGGATAAGTTAATCAACAGCTGGTGTTGGTACGGTTTGGAACCCTTTGTGCAAGTGTACACAATCGTTGTAGCAAGTGATAAAAAGATCGTATCCACATGGATTGATAACTAAACATTTCAACAATTACTTAAGAAAATAAGCAAATTAACAAAATAGTTTTGGATAAGAAAAACTAAAGTAACTCAAACAAAATAGTGCATACATGATTTGCTTATTAAAAACAAGGCAGAAACAAACAAAACCAGATCGATTAAAGAAAAATATTCAAAGAAAAGGTTAACTACTGATATTTAAAAGAGTCAGGGGAAGAGTTTATGTGACTTTTTCTGGACTACTCTAATGATGCTGCAGCATTAACGATGTTGATATATTGATCAAATACACACGAAATCTTCCCAGATTTCCAGATTTTCTGTTATTCATGTTTTTAAACAAACTTGACAGCATATACACTCAGTCTTGCTAGGTGAGCCTTATTCTTAAGTACCCATACTCTAAACTCAAGTAGATCTAGCACGAGTTGAAGCCAAACACTTCCTATTATAAGTTTTCAAGAGTTAATAAGAAGATATTCCAATATGTTAGCAAATAAAATGTTAAAAACAACTTCAACTCAGTATATATAATCATTAAAGCCAAAGCAAAGTTTATAGCTCAAGAATAAGTTCACAACATCCTCCCCCTTACAAATAAACTTAGCTACTCAATGTCATACAAGAAAAGAGAAGAAGAAAATACAAAACCCGTATACTAAAGAGTACAAAAGAAGAAGAATATGAAGAATAGCAGCAGTCCTTCTCTCTTTGTTGTCTTCTTCAACGGTTTCTTGGGAGCAAGTGAGAGTGAAGTGATGAGATGGGGAATGTTGGAGGTAACCTTAATTGCAAGCTTTTATACCCCTCTTGATTTTAGGGCAACACAAATGATAAAGTGGGCCCAGCTCAAAATATTAGGTATTTTTTCGTTTTACTACAGTAATTTCTCGGGTAAAAGCTGTAAATGTCAACTCTGTATTTTTCTGCCTTTTTGACTCCGATGCTGCAACATCAACAATGCTGTAGCAAAACATTCAAAATTAGATCATTCTTCATAACTCTCAGCATTGTCTACTAAGGTAAAGATGTTAATGAATGTAAAGCATTATTTGCACAAAATCAGTGTAGAATGAGTGTTAGTGATGCTATCCTTAGCTAATTTATATGAAATTCTTGCACAAATAACTCTCATTTGGAGAGTTATCAGCTGGTCAAAGAACTCGAACTGGGACAAACCTAGAAGTAGGCTGATAAGCTAGAAGCCATTCACTGAAACCAGGGAAGAGAATCCCAAAGGTGTTGAAAAAGGCATGCGTACAGGCCCAACAAGATTAAAAACAGAAAGCAGGCAAGCCAAACCAAATCAATAAAACCAAGAGTATAAAACCATGGGCAAAAGTCAAATAAGTTAGAAACCCAAGGGTGTCGACTTAACTCAGGGTATAAAACCATTGACAAAAGTCGATTAGGTTAGAAAC